CCCTTGAAAGTCAGGTCCAGAATAGTCTTCGATCCAACGCTTATACCTGTTCCCCTCCAGTACAACATCTCCGCTACCGTCCTCCAACTTTCTCTTCAAATATAATCCAACCTCGCCATAGCCCAGCAGACAGCTGAAGACCGCTACCAATAACTCGGTGACATCGCCCTGTGCCCCGATGTCGAGAATGTATTGCGAGTAAGCGGAGTTTGACGGCGATTCCGTCGCTTGTTGGAGGTCTTCCAAAGAAACTCCGAAAGATGTACAGAACTGCAGTGAAAGGCAATGAGACTGACTGTGCAAGCGAATCTCCGCGGGCAATGTGTACCTACTTGGACGTGCATTTCCGACTCTTTCGCAATATGTAGAGCGATTTCCGAGAACGCCTGGATCTCGGTGAAAGATGTGCTCTTGTAAGCGCCCAGCGAATGTGCTCTGGCATCTGCCATGCAGGCCATCAATTTCAATCAGCTGAAAGGGGCGTCCTATTTCAACGGCTTACAGTTTCTCAGGTAGTGCCAGTCTTGTATGATATAGTGGCGGAACGCTTCGGGATCGAGGGTACCCTTGCCAAGTTGTTGAACAAATGGATGCTTGACGTATGACTGCCATTCTTGAGAAGTAGAACGAAGGAGGTGGGAAACAAAAGGATGAGGATCACTTGAGGATGCCCTGAGCGGCGCAGTATATCCCACGAGGTTGATTGCACGAGTAAGCACATGTTGAGACGAGATCGAAATGGAAAAGGAGAACATACAGCATCAGAGCTCGTCTTGCGACTATGCATCCGTGATTCAGGGGTCCGTGACCTTCACCCTTGGCTTCGGCCGTGACAATGGCATATTGCGTATAGTCAATCCCTTCCGACACTGCCTGGACCACTGCACGAAGGAAGGAAGAAGATTGGTCTAGGTAAGGTATGGCCTCACATCTGACATCTCGGTCCAACTTACTATGCTTTCCCAGAGCGAGGTTGCTAGCGATAGCAGCGGACAAGGTACATCCTGTACCATGTGTTGAAGCGCTTATTATCGCCGGAGCCACGAACAGGTTCACTCTCGACCCGGAGGCCTCTATCAGGACATCTACGACGTACTTCTCCTCGTCCTTCTTCGATTCATTCTGAAGCTGGTCTCGGTAGGCATGAAGCACCTCGATGAACCCTTCTTGCTCTTCGTCGGCTCCGCTTGATTCCCCCTTCCAGGTGACTGTCATGTGCGTGTCCGATGCAAGCGCATGTAAGGCTTTCTTCAAGCTCGTCTTCTCCATAGGGAGATGTCCACCCTTGACTAGTACAGTCAAATCCTTGGCCTGAAGAATGTGTGCAATCTCTTTTCCGGCATCCACCATTTGCCCTATCGACTGAATACGGCCACCTGTCCCCGACTCTTGCTCTTTTACGAGATCGCCAACTACTACATCCGAATGATGAGGAACGTTCTTCCCGGCTCGCAAGCACCGTAACAAGAGCTCTGTTTCCTGAATATTCGGGGTAATGAGTCGAGCGAGAGGCAGCAGACCGAAACATAGCTCTCCGATGGCGTCGCTGGGCAGGAGCGTATGATTCGAGGTTGAGATCATGACCGGGTCGATGATCATAGGCGGCATGTCCTCTTCGGAGTATGTTGCTTGAAGTTCTTCAATAATCGCACGAATCACATTCGAGGACGCCAGCATTCCAGTCTTGATAGCTTTCGGTGGCAGATCACCCAGAACAGACTTCATCTACCAACAAGCATTGTCAAGTATAAGCTGGACCATGCCTGACTGTGAGCTTGCGAAAATGCTTACCTGCTGCTTGACAAAGTCACTGGGAACCTCATGCACGCCTTGAACCCCTACCGTGTTTTGCGCCGTCAGAGCAGTCACAACGTTGGTTGCAAAGCATCCGTGCACCTGGATCGTCTTGGTATCCGCCTGGATTCCTGCTCCTCCTCCGCTGTCCGATCCGGCGATAGTAAGAACAGTTGGGGATGACATCGTGGGTTGACGAGCTGGTGAACGGAGGGCCTCTGTATGGCAGTAATGTGATACTTGGCGGAAACTCGAGATGGGCCAGTTGCTGCAACCTTCCAAGTATTATAAGTGAAACCTCTATGTAGCCACTGCAATCGGCCTGTTGCTCACACAGTCAGCATTGGAATAGTAGATTTGACGTTGTTAGATAACTGTACAGTAGAACTCTCGAAAGCTCAATCGACGAGCCGCATTAGCTGGGCCGAAATCGTCAACATCAGATTCGGTAAGCTATTCCGGTTGTGCAGCTGGTTGTGCCTGGCAATAAATAATGTTCTTTCAAAGTTTCTGACATGACAGTTCTTCGGCGTTCCGCATAGCAGCCCGCATAGCTTTCCGCATTCCGTCCCGCAACCGCTGCGCACCGGTGAACTGGACAGAATTTCCACGACTGGTTCACATTTGCCTTCATAGCATACATGATGGCCCGGCGCGATGATTTCGACAGGCCAGCTAGCCAACACAAATTTTTATAGCACAACAAAACCCATTGACTAGCGATACAATTCAAAGCAGAACCCAAAACACAAAACCGACACCATTTAAGCTGCCACCGCGACTCGCTTGACCTCCTCGACAACGTTCGGCGACGTGTGGTTGATCATCAACGACGACTTGGCACCCACTTGGTACCCTCCCTTCTTCGCGACAGCTTCAGCTCGGCACTCGTCCACAAAGTCGGTGAACATTTCGATAGTGTCAAGGGGTCCTCCTGCGGATTCCGGGTGGAACTGCACACCCCAGATTCGTTTACCGGATTCCGGTGTAGAGATGATACCTTCGACGGACGAGTCGTTGCAGTTTATAAAGAACGGTGCCCATCCTTCAGGGAAATCTTCGGTCAACTTGAGGGCATACTGGTGGTTTTGCGAAGTAACGTAAACCCGACCGGCCTTGATGCTTCCCGAGCTGGCGAGGGCGAGAACGGGCTGGTTGTGTCCTCGATTACCAAAAGTCATTCGATAAGCTTCGAGACCAGCAGCGAGTCCCAAGATTTGATGACCCATGCAGATACCAAAGATGGGCTTGTTCCACTCGTTGACGGTTTGACGCACTCGTTGAACGGTGTCCATGATGGACTTGGGGTCACCAGGGCCGTTGGACAAGAACAATCCGTCGTACTGGTCCCTGACGGCGTTGAAGTCGTAGTCCCAAGGAAGTACAGTAACTCGTGCGTTTCGCTTGACGAGGGATCGAGCGATGTTGGCCTTTGATCCAAAGTCGAGCAGGGCAATGTTGACGTCTCCGTTAGGGTTCAGAACATACGGTTCCTTGGTGGAGACTTTGGCGATCAAGTTCTCCTTGGAAGGGTCCCAGTACTCCTCTTTCGTAGGTCGAGGAGCGTTGACATCGTCACCGACACAGAGCCTACCAAGAGTAGTACCCTGGTCTCGCAGCAAGGTGGTGATGGCCCGAGTGTCCACTCCAGATATACCGGGTACGCCGTATCGAGCACACCATTCGTGCAGACTTTCAACTGCGGCGTGGTGCGAGTACTGCAGGGCGACATCGGACACAACAACACCGGAGCACTGCACGCCGCCGGATTCGAGAACAGGTAGGTTGGGCATGCCCTCGATGGGCTTGTTCTTGGGTACACCGTAGTTGCCAATCATGGGTGAGGTGAAAACCAAGATTTGACCGAGGTAAGAAGGGTCGGTCATGGATTCAGTGTCTATTTCGGGAAGGATGTCAGCTCCAGGGGGAAACGCCCAAGCGTCGACTGCCGTCACCTGCACTTACAACTCGTGATACTGGTCGAGAAAACCGTCTCACCGTAGATGCTTCGCTTGGCACCGAACGCTTGACCCTCGTACGTCTGTCCCGTGATCATGTGCAAGGCGGCAGGATCATTTGGTGGCAGGACGGGAGTAAAAAGTCCAGATGCGGGTGTGGCGAGCGTTCGTGCTAATCGAGGAGTAGACAGCGTTGATGCTTTTGCGATGGAGCCGTTGACAGCTGTCTTGGCGAGTGTTCGAAGAACTTGGGTTGCGTAAGGCATTTTGTCTATAATTGAGGGTTTGATTGTTGTAGAAGTAGGTGATGCAGTCGCGGTTTCGGCTATTAGAGATTTGCGATGGTGTAAATCACGTCGGTGATATAGCTAGGGGGGAAATGATCAATACCAAAAAAACATTCGAGGACCACGAAAACCAAGGTCTACCTACTCGTCAGAAGTTCGTTCAGTCCAAAGCATAAGGGAGGATCGAGAACGTATCGACCTCTTGCGGTATGAATGATGGTGAGATACTGGAATAGAGCAAGCTTGTGGGGACCAGCGAAATGGCGTCCATCCCCGGTGCGCTCAGGCGCAAATCGACATTCTTCTTTATAGATTGGCAGAACTGGCGCCTTTTCCGGCAAAGATAGATAGCGCACCGGGCGGCTCAAGCGCTCCCAGTGAGCTTACGGCCGATCTAATGACGACAACGAATGAGATAACGGGACCGAAAAAAGCCTTATCTTAAATCGAGTTTCCAGCCGCCCGTCGGTCAAGACGGGTCCAATAGCCTTGAGAATGAGGTGTATTTCCATATCAGAAGAAGGGCATTCCCGAAATATATATTCCCTTGTTGGCAGGGAGTATGGAGAGGGTTCTTATTAGCAAGGGGCAGGTTTACGAGCATGAGTCGGGTGGTATGGCCAAGTTGTATGTTATGGATGCTGGGCGTTGGGTTCAATACCGTAGCAGCCCAACAAGCCAACAATGACCTTTTAGAGCAGAGGAGAAAAACCCCATGCGACTGACTTGCATCGTTGCAAAAGAGGCTGCCGTGCCATTGTGCACATCGTATCCACCGAAATGATCTCAAGCGGGAAGTCAATCTTACTACTGGTGGTACGCATCTCGTTGAGAAAGTGTGAAAGACGGCATCAGTTGAAGATCACCCTAGTATACCCAGTGTATTTAGGTAAACCACGGCAGGGCATTCAAGTGGTCATAAATTGCCAGTTGAATCTCGCAAAAAAACTCCAAAAAGGACCTCCCACGGCGAGTCTCGATCTCGCGGCATTCAGATCTCACAAAGCACTCTTCGTAAAAGTCTGACGCTCTTCCAACTGAGCTACGCGGGAGAGATGTGTTTCGGAATTCTTCGCGCATAATAAGTTTTTGCCGCAAGATCAATCTTACCAATAATAATCTAATTATAAAGCTACTACCGCTCGCCGATCACTTCGTTCAGCTTCCACCACCTCCACGAGGTATCGTTGATGTTTCGCACAAGGTCAGCCAACAATTAAGCCCAAAACCCACAAAGTCAGAGAGTCATATCGAATCGCCCTTTGTTTGTACGCAGAAAAGGATCAGGAAAGACAAAGGACACAAGTCTTGCGGGTCGGACTTTTCAACTCGTTGCACTACCCAGTGTATGCTTTCCAGCAGCATCACCAGAGACGCCGTCCGCACCAGGAATTTAGAGGATCTTTTGTCATTGCAGGAGGAAGGCCACCTGTTACCCGTGCACACTAGCAAGACAATGGGCTCTGCCAAATCACCGACATTCTCATTGGGCAAACTGCCAAATAGATCTACCGCGGCCCAGAACAGCACCGGCTCTGCAGATGAGAAGAGCGACGTGGATCAAGCTTCCCGACGAACAAAATACGGCTGGCAATCCCCTCGGTATGCGGTAGAGGATGGATACAGCGGTGAAAAGCTACTCGCCAACGGTGGACAAAGTCGGCATCGAAAGGCAGCAAGTCATACCCGTAAAGTCTCGATTAGCAGCGGATTCGCAGGCCTAGGTTCCGGACGGAGAGTAGATGCTGCTACTCTTATTGATGGCTCTTCCGGGACCGAGGAAGATGGCGATAGCGTAAAGGTCACAAAAAGGGTGGAAGTACAGGATCGTAGAGCAGAGGTTTCCGCAGGATTAACGGGAAAGGACAAGCATGCATTCATATTGCTAATCATATTATGTGAGTTGTCTTCTTATCCGGCTCAGAGTGGAGAGCACGTGCTGACAGACCCACTGATGTGACTCTCTCTCCGTCACAGACCTGTACGTATTGTTGTCTTCATAAATCGCAAACCGAACCTCGAACACTAACCGGTACGCTCCGGAATTTCCCCGCTGTCGTATTAGGTTACAAGGTATACCGATCGGCATAACCTTTGGCACACTGCCCTTTCTGTTGAAACCTCGGCTCTCGTATTCTCAGCTCGCCTTGTTCTCACTTTCGAGCTGGCCGTACTCGCTGAAATTGTTATGGTCCCCGTTGGTGGATGCATGGTTCTCGAACCGGTGAGCATCTACAGGTGTACACAGAAACGGAGTCTGTTGTAGCTGAAGATTACTTTATAGTATCGGACGGCGGAAATCTTGGATTATCCCTGTGCAGCTTACACTTGGGGCTGGTATGTGGGCGGTCGGTAGCTCGATAGAAGGCTGGTTGGCAGCTGTAAGTGGGAAAAGTTTACTTTGCTAGACCGAAGCTGACACGGTGCGTGCTGCAGGAGGAAGTCGACGTTCGGTTCCTCACCGCTATCTTTGTCACGTTTATCTTCTTCGCTGCCACACAAGGTGAGTACAGGAAACGATTACGAGTAGAACCAAAGCTAAACAGGAACGGTCTCCTCCTCTAGATATCGCCGTTGATGGATGGGCGCTGACACTCCTGTCACCGGCAAACTTGTCGTACGCTTCGACTGCGCAAACAATTGGCTTGGCTGTCGGCTACACTATGAGCTTCACTGTCTTCTTGGCTTTGAATAGTGTCGAGTTCTGGTGGGTTGATTCCACGTCGATCATATGAAGGGAATACTGGAGCTAATCACCTCGTCTGTATAATGGTAGTAATCGCTGGCTAAGAGCGGTTCCAATGGACGTCCCACTGGTGTCGCTAGGGGGATTTCTGAAGTTCTGGGCTGGTGTTTTTGTTGCCTTTACCATCTGGTTGATTCTCGGCAAGAAAGAAGACGCAACGAGCGAAAACGACCCAGATATGGATGTCAAAAAGGTCTACAAGGTCATGTGGAGCATCGTTAGATTAAAGAGTGCGTTTCTGGAGACACAGTTGCGGATCGAAGTTGCTGACTGAACGAAAAAATCAGATATCCAATCCTTTATAATCCTGCACCTCGTATCGAAGATTGGGTTTCAGATCCAAGAAGTTACTCCGCTGAAGCTCATCGAGAAGGGCCTGCCAAAGGAGGACTTGGCGTTCATCAACCTTTTAAACGTGCCGTTCGAGCTCGTAGGCGCATGGTTTGCCGCACGATGGTCGCGTGGTAATCAGCCATTAGACACCTGGCTACGTGCATTCTGGGCAAGGTTTCTGGTGGGCGCAATCGCCACTCTTTTGGTGTGGGCTTTTCCGTCCAACGGGAAAGTGCATTCCGCATACTTTCTCGGTATCGTAGCGGTTACGCTTTTGGCGAGCTTTGCGAGGTAAGTTGCGTTTTTTGTGTCGTCTTGTCAGGATACCAACCTAATGTCATTACAGCACCGTGCAATTCGTCGGCATGACGGCGTATCATACTTCTATAGCTGATATACGGATTGGCGGGACGTATATGACAGTAAGTCACCCGCCATATGGTCCCTGTTGCTTCTTTTATGCCTAATCTCCCTACCTACACAGCTACTCAACACCGTAAGCAACCTTGGAGGGACGTGGCCAAAGGTGCGTAGTGTGTAATCTCTCGCGCATGGCTTAGCTAATTCGTACTCTCCACACAGCCATTCGTCCTTAAAGGGATAGACTACTTTAGCCAGTCTTCCTGCCGCATACCCGACGAGGACTCGGATGATTTCGCCATCAGAGGTGAGCGCCAAGAGTGACTGTATCGCGGCCCCAAACTGATAACTTTTTATGTAGCTGCCGAATGCACATCGGACCATGGAAGAGCCTACTGCGCTGACCTGGGCGGTAATTGCGTCACGGATCAAGATGGATACTATATGATGTCGGTGCTCTGTATAGGACTCGGCATTGCGATCCTAGTCTGGTACATCAAACCGACAGCGAAGAGACTACAATGTAAGCCATTCTTCTCTCATTCAGCATGATGCTTCGCTAATACTGTTCAAATTGTAGCTTTACCACTTCGTTTCTGGCGAGTGTCAATACCCAATTGATAGATGAAACTACTTTTGATTGTAAACTGCATAGCATCATTTTCGAGCGTAGTTCGAACCTCCTTGACCACAGGCAATCGCGCTGACATGCGCGATGTCACTCCAACTCATACTTGATGACGTCGAGGAGTGAAAGTATTTCCCATGTCCGACTCTATTAGACCAGCGGTGAATCAAGTTCCTGCAAAAACTACAGATAAAATACGTGAACCTTCGTCAACGGTTGTTACTCACATCATAGCAGTTATGAGAGTTTGCTGTGAAGCGACGAGTAGGCCACGCCGAGAGACAGAAACAGTAGCGGTAGCTCCTAGCGCATTCAAGTAGCTATTCAAGTAGCTATATTATATCCAGACAGCTATCGAGACTCAAGTTAGTAGCTATCGCTAACAAGAAGTACAGTTCGTAGTTGAAGTCGATCGATTTTTAGGCTTCTGGGCATTACAGTTGTTGGTCACGGGTCAAGGAGAGTCCACTCTTCTTCATTCCACTTTGACGTTGTGATTCCTACTCCAACACCTGACTTGGCCTCAAGACAAGTCATTTCATTCCCAATCCCTCTCAATTTGGCCTGGCATTGCATATTGACAACCGTTCCCGGTAGGTATGCCTCAGTGACCGACTCGTGTGACACAAGAGTAGCGCTGTAGGACATCGATATCAACACACCACTGAAGGACCAGTGCATCTATTCACTCCAGGAGAATTCTGCCTTTTACTTAACAACAGTCGGTATAATATGAGCGAGTGCTCGCCCGTCGTGAACTCGCCGCACGGGCCAGATGATACCATCAAACAAGGTGACTCCACCTCGCGCGCCACTCATTCGAAATCCGATTCGCCAGTTATCGCCAAAGAAGAACCTCTAGAGTATGACAATGAAGGTGATGGCGATTCAGAAGACAAGGCGGATAATGTGGAAGGTTCTATCAAGAGACCAAGGCTGCGGTTGTCGCAAGCTTGTAAGTACAGAGGGAACTGCATTACTCCGCTAGGGGGGTTTCCACTCAAGGCGATGCTGAACAAATCAATTCGACAGGTGATCGTTGTCGGTAAGGTAGATTTCGCAAAGGATTGGAGGTCCAGACCTGCTAAGATGTCTTGTTTGTCAAAGGCGACGGAAGATTCGTTGCGATACACAGCAGCCTTGTGGTCCATGCCAGGTGGGTTTCTCCGGGCGTTGTGACTTCCACTTCGCGGACTGAATGACTGATCTGCGGTGATAGGCAACGAGAAATGTCTGCACGTTCGAATCGCCATCCAAGAGAGTGAAGAAGAAAAAGTAAGAAGAGTGCAGGCAGGTTGTTGACGAGGAAGATTCCGATTGACTGATTGTCCGGATTTCCTGCAGAGATGAAACCGACCCAAAGCGCATGCATGGAAAAGGATCGACCTCGAATCTACGGAACACGGTGGAAGGAAGCGCACTACCCTTGCTGAATACATTTGAGGCTCGATTAGGGAGTCTCGAGGCTTTGTTGAGGGACGTTCCACCTGACGTTCACAACGCTCTCATTAGCAGACTGGATGCCTCGCTAAACGCTGTGCCCGCTGAAGGTACAACACTCAAGCGCTCGAATGCCGCTGCTTTGGAAGAGACTCGAAGAAGCACTGCTAGAATGATATCAAAGATGCCCGAGCGTAGTCTAGCATCCGGCTTGGAAGATATACAGCGCAGTTTACAGGGGTTGAATCTCTCAAATGGATACCTTTATCTTGACGAGATTGGTCAAACCAAATGGCAAGGTATGTGAAACAGTGACGGAGTCAGGGTGCACATTATGCACAACCTGATCACTCTTATCTGGTACAGGTGCCACATCCGGATTCCCGCTACTCGACCTGTTGACAGCAGCAGCAGCAAACAATGGCCATACAGATTCAGATCCGATACTGGAAGGAATTGAACCAGGAAATCCACGCAAAGCCAGTAACCCATATGCGGAATGGCCTGCAAATCCTGCTAGTCGAACAGGAACTCCAAACTCCGCG